TACCAGCATAAAGCCGTACAATTATGCAAGTCACGAGTTTCTCCCTGTTTGCATTGTTTGTAGTCCCATGGGAATTCTCACTAGCCCATGGGAATTCCCACTAGCCCATGGGCATGCCCATGGTGGGACTCCCATGGGAAATGTCAAGGTCTAACTAGGATCGCATGGTTTATATAAGTTGGATATGCCAACGACTAAGTACTATCTAGTACGGGAACCGAAGTACCCGTAAAGTGCAGAATGGGTCCGTGCGGATTATCCTTAATCCGCACATGGGCATATGTGCACAAATCTCTATATACAAACGGGGTTTGGGATCTCACTTAGATAGCTTCCTCCAAATTCTAAACTAAGGACGCTATTAGGTATTACTGTTATTAAGCGCTATTAGCGAAAGGAGTGCATATTTGCTCGAAATAAGGTTCGGGTGAGCTAACCTGCCGTCTGGGAAATAATAAAGGAAAATAGATACTATATCTAATCGAACGAGGACTATATAAACTATCTTCTTTTAGAGGATTAAGCGATCTATATAAACTTTTTTAACTGGATATTTAAAATATTACGAGAGAAACTACTCTAGTCCTATAATAAGTACTAGCGCTATCTTTATTAATACTTCGAGTTATTCGCCCGCCGCCGCGTCAGTAAGGATACCCATCCGAGCATCCAATCAACCCTGAGACTTGAATGAGCCCGCATGGGGGGTGTCTGTCAGCTAGGAGGGTCAATGCGGCGGTCGCGCAATCAGGGGTGAGAAGTCACCCACTCTCACCCCACAAGCGCTTTCGACGCTCTCGTGCGGCTGAGTCGAGAACTGCAAAGTCCTTCCTTCGTCAGCCTCGTGTCCTGAGTATGTCCTATGTCCTTGGCCGCGACAGTTCGCTCGGACGCTGATAACTGCTGCTTCGGGTGTAATGATGAATGATCACGACTCGGATGCCCACTCGTCAACAAATGGGTCAGACGGCTTTGACTCCGTTTCTGGCTCCCCCACCGGGTCAGTCCACAGCTATGTGCGATCTCGTCCGCAGAGAGGTGCCAGGGTGGCTTTCGCGCCGCCGGGCTTGTCCCCGGCATCATCAGCGACCACATCGGAAGGGGAGGTGTTCGTTCATCATCGAGCAAGAAGTCCATTGCGGTCTAGTTACAGATCCCGATCAAGGCACCGGGCCCCTGAGTCCAATAGGATACCTGCGTGGCCAGGTTGGGAACATATATCACCGCTTCAGTACAGTTCAAACGGGTTTGAAAACTACGAAGACATTTATGCGAATGACGAGCGCATCACAGTCCACCACGTCATCAACGTGCGTCCCTCTCGCTCTATGGAAAACCGCGGAAATAAAGAACAGAACTGGGTCGGAAGCAGGGTGTTCACCCATCAATCCTCGTTTAATCAAGATGAAAAAGCTTTTCTGGAGACTTATCGTATTGTCCAGTCACGACTGATCCCTCGCTCTGAGGATGACTTGCATGACCGAGCGATTCTGACTTACGAGGGGAAAGCCGCGTCGTCCGAGACAGAGATTCGATGGGTGTATGTTTGATTTCATACTCTCCTCCATTTTGTCAACGGGAGAAAGCCCTTACTAAACAAGCACAATACAGTCACGTTCAAAGCAATTACATGAATCTCGAGCTGTTTGAGGTATGGTCCCCGCTAATATTACCAGAGATTCGACTAAAGCATTGAAGATGGAAGCTCTGCGTCAGCAAAACATTCCAGAAGCGACCAGCACTCTTATCCGCTCAGCATTCAGATACCTCCGGCAACGAAATGAAAAGTCATACGTGCACGGGAGGTTTCTCGATCCGACTGCGTTAAGTTTCGTTGCCAGGGGTGATGATGGCGAACGACTGCCAGTAAAAGAATTAGCATCGATTGCATTTTTAGCTTTTCCGTATTTCACTCTCGAGCCACTACGCGTCCAAGACCCCACTTCCGCGGAACCGATACACCCGGTCAGAAGTCTTCTCCAGTGTCATTATTCTTTCCAGTCGACCGGGCAGCGGGATACAGATCAAGTTGTTTGCAAAGTTCGAGAGGTGCCGGATGTGCTTCATGTGCCCCAGACATGGATGCTTCTGGTCAATGAAGGTATGTACGAATTGATCAGGGTTAGTCAGTCAATTTTGACCAATTTTGACCAATCTCTAGATTTGATCCTAAGCATGGGTCCGAACGACCTCGCTCATATTGGAGGGGAGTATGTTTCCCTTGAAAGGGCCAAAGCGGGTGGTGCAATGTCCCAGATCCGATTGATCGACTTCGAAGGGAAACAGTACTTTCTGCCAAAGCGAAGCTGTAAGACATGGTTGGTGAGTCTCAATATTGAAATTCAATCTTATATTTTGAGGCACCGGCTCATTCAGTGACATAGGAGTTCATCAGCATGTTCAGCACAGTGAAGGAAGACGAGACAGTGTTGACTTCCTTCATGGACGGCTCCTGGAGCGACGAGTACGAGCTACGGCTTGGGAATGAGCTTGTCTCGGAAGAAAACTGGTCAGAAGCTGTGCTCCATTCTGAAAATGATATAACAATCCACATCGTGGAGAAGCCCCCGCGGAGTTTGCCTCACCATTTGCGTCCATCGCGAGCGTACAGTAGGACCGACTTTGACCACAGACGGAGGTCACAATCTGCTCGATCAACAAACTATGGTGAGTCCACCTTCGAAGCTTGCACAGCTTCCTCAAGCATCTGTACTGATAGACCTTTTCTTCAACCTTTGACCAACCTTTGACACGGCTTCTATAGACCACATGATGAGAAGAAGATCGTATATGTATTCTGCCTCAAATACAACACCCGACGACATTCTCGTTCGACGTTCGACTTCCATCAACAATCGGCACAGAGACGACGGCGACTCAATGCGCCAATCCCATAGCGATGTCGTAAAAAGACATGCTTGGCAAAGCGACAAGAAACCAATTCGCTTGAAAGATTTGGATGGTTTCGAACTGACTATTCCCTGGCGTGTTGGCCGAACCTGGCGGGTACGACCACTCTTGCTCTTTCTTGCGCGGGAACGCACACTAAACAGCCTCCTGACTCGAACAGAAAATGCACTCCGTAATTGATACAAAGATGCAGCAGAGCTATGAGTCTTGGCATGCTTATACTAATGGGGACTACATCTTGAATGGTCCGGACGGGCCCATAACGCCTGCAGATTGGGATGAAAAAGTCCTTCCTGGATGCACGGTTGAGCTCAAACTTACTGGACCCGAGACCACTGGACGAATGTCGAGGCCTCGCTCTCGCCATAGAGACTCAAGGCCTTTCCCCGATGACGAGAATTCCGTCAGCACTGCAGTCCAGCCATTTTCATTCACGCCAATGCCTCTGGAAAGAATCGACACATCCTATCAGATAGAGCATTCAGGGATTTCTTCATATAGCGCCTTGGCCCGGGATGCAGACTCTCAGACTCCTCGCGAGTCCAACGAATCTGTTAGTGATCAAAATATCGAGGATGTTGTGGGTGGGCCCAATTTGACGACGAGCGCATTGCAGCCTGAGCCCTCGTCGCAGATGGCTCTGGTTCTCTGGAGACATTCTCCTCTTAATTCGGATACAAGCATCCACACAGCAACTGGCGAACAATTTGGCGGAGTTTCAAGCCTATCTCGAAGATCCACTGGCCCCCAGAGCTTTGTTGAGGATTTCGATGAGGATACTGTTGAGGATAGTATCCCTACCGAGAGACCCTCTCCCGAAGACTTTGCAGATCATTTGTCTCCTGTTGGAAGAACCTCAAGCGATTCTCGGGATTCATCTTCGACGACTCGCTCGGATGAGTCCTCGTCGGGCTCGACTGAGTCTATCAGGCGGGACTCATCATCACAACTAGCAAGCCCAGAGGAGCCTGCAGCAGACGCACAGCCAGATAATGGAACAGACACAACACCAATGTGTCCGATCTTTGCCTGGAAAGTTGCAGCAAGCGATGATCTACCACCTACCCTGATGGAGAATAGTGCGTCAATGTTTGGGTACAAAGGTACAGATAGAACTATTCGCGCGATATTGGAAGAGCGAGAGGCAGAGGCAACACTGTATCTCCTGAAGCATGAGCGAGAAAAGGACTTTTTCGACTCACTTTCTGGGTGTTCGAGAGAAGTCCTTGCCGAGATGAAAGTCGCTGGCACTCCTCTAGACCGGTCTTCAGCGATTGAAAGATCTGCCAGGAAAAAGTCCACGCGGAAAAAGCTAACGGTGATCACCAACGCGATTGAGATTCTGGATGCGTTCGTACCTGTGCAGTATCATAATATCGATCAATATTGGTTGATCGAGAAATTTTACGGCGCATTGATAGCAATGACTTCCAGCTACGTGAGTCGTTCATTCTTTTTCTGAGATGGGAGAAAGGTTAATTGTCCAATCAGTCCAGCGATGCCTATCTCGACAGAATTGGCGATCGTATGTCCTCTTTCCTCAAACACATCAGGCAAATTCACGCTCGGGTCTCAGGCGGGGTTAATGAGCAATCCCGGACCTTCTACCTTCCCAAAGCCTTGGTCGATGCCTTCAACCCCATCATAATATACGTCTGCATTTGCAGTCAGGTGTCGGATGAGTTTTCACCAGAATGGGGTCTTCTCCAACGCCACGCGAGAAAAGTCCTGAAATCTCTTCAAACTGCCGAATATCAGCTCATCTCCATGATCCATGCTGGCGACTTCAGCGAAGCCAAAGTTTTCCGGCGCGTCAATGCCCAGGACATCGTGACCATGGTCACGGAGCGCCTGGTGCGGATACCGAATGAGAATCCGAACGGGATATCCTCGTCAGATGGGTTCAATCTCCTGCAGATCTATCGACAGTACATCCTGGGCCTGGTACGAATGGCAGCCCTGCACGCTACTCGTCATTACGACAGCTGACTAGTAACAGGAACTACAAGCTCGCACATCTCCAAACGCTGAAATCTTTGACGAAATACAACGACTCCGAGAAGAGCTGGATATTGTCCACACCGTACTGGACCAGCAGCTAGAGGTTCTTGACAAGCTTCGTACGGTGTGGACCAGTCTCAGACATTCCAGTAACCAAGTCAGCCTGCAAAGCATCCTCCAAAGCCGCAGGCTGATCACAAAAATGAAACGTGATTTGGATGAGCTCGAGGATATGGCCGGCAAGACATCTATGCTGGTAAGTTGCGCCTTCTGCCTCACACATTCCATCTCAATTGACCACCTTCAACAGCTACGGTCCATGATCGAAGTGCGTAAAGAGTCGAATAGCAAAGCAATCGCCATCTTCACGATTGTGACGGTCATCTTTCTGCCTCTGTCCTTCGTGACATCCTACCTCGGCATGAATAGCGTCGACATCCGAGACGGCACATTCAACCAGAGCTTGTTCTGGATGGTGGCCCTTCCTAGCGCTGCTGTTCTCGTCTTCACATTGTGGATTGTTCTTAAATTCAGGCAAAGTCTGAGGAGATGGTGGCCTCGTCGAAGACTGCGGGGATCACTGCGGATGATTGCATTTTGGTTCTACCGAGCCACGACCACGGTGCCCAGTGGTTCCGCATCGAGTCGGACAACGAGGGAAACTGATTAGGGAGTATAAGAAATGTTGAATAACTATAGGATTATCTTTCGGGATACAGAGAAAAATAAAAGACTCCACCGTGTAGATATAGCCGTGATAAACTCCACTATCTATCATATATAAGAATATTTGAGTGACCACTACGGCGACGAGGTAGGTGGTATATAACTCAAACGTTTGGGAGCACGCGGTCAGTTCCTAGGAGCATCCGACTATTTTCCTAGGGAAATTGGGGTCTTCCTAGGACTCCAGTTTTAATCTACAGTGGCGCTTCATGAGTATTTGCACCTGAGTACTTCCAGCATTGACCGCTCTTTCTGTGCCCTCTTCCTATTCCGGCTAGTATAAACCTGCGCAGCGTAAATATGAAGTTTCGACCTGCAGAAAAGAAGTGGGTCTCAGGCCTTCCGGAGTACTGGGGTGCAAATACTCATGAAACATGACTGCATATGGAGAAGAGAGGACCTGGCCTAAAGCCCTTGATCGCGGATTTTTCGACCAAGGTTATTCTCATGTTTCTGTGTGCCGGAATCTTGTACCGTGAAAATTAATGATGGGCTCGACCCAAACAGTACCTGGCCACCCTACCTATGTAAATATACACCGGATTTGGGGCCCTTAGTATTGCATGACTATTAAAACTCTTCATTTTTTTGATATAAACAAACTTTACTTCCCCCCGCATCTCGACCCCGGTTTGCTTTGTGTTTTTCTTTTCCGGGGCTACGGTGACTTTCAGTTTGGGAAGGCTGTCTCAAGATAAGCGAACCACGGATGCACTAGCATCCGTGCATAAGTCGGAGGACAGCGTCAAGAACAAGACATGGTACAAGACAATCGACCCGGAGCTGAGTCTTGTTTACCTATTGACTCCCGCAGCCTGGCCTCATCTGAAAAGCACTAAGGGTGCCATTGTCAATGTTGCTTCGGTTAACGGATGGATTGGCGTCGAGCCCCTGCCAGCTGTCGCCTATGTCGCGGCTAAGGGAGGTGTCATTGCTATGACTTGTCAGCTGGCCATGGAAGGTCGCGAGAGCGGCATCAGGGCGAACTCTATTTCACCTGGTGTAATCAAGACTCTTCAGACCGTTTCACATATGGGAGATAGCAGTTGGTCTGAGACGATGTTGAAGAAGATTGTGATAGAGCGGTTCAGACAACCAGAGGAAATTGTCGGGATGGCAAGCTTCCTTGCCTCCGACGAGGCCTCATATATCACAGGTGCAGATATTAAAGTCGATGGTGGCATGACAGCTTGGTGCCTCGGGGCTCTAAGTGGTGATGGAGGAACGGAAAGAAATGGTTGATGTACTAATAGATATCTATATGAGGTGGCTACGACTCTCTGAGGCTCAGGTGACCCAGTCCATCTTCCTTTCTCTAATAAACCTTTGGGAAAACCGAGGACCGTTTTTAGCTTAGTAGGGGAGGACGAGATCCTAAAACCTATTATATATATAGAAACTACACATTTATCCTAGTGGGAACCCGTATATATCCCTACTCGCCCTTTTCACAGTGTTTACAGCTGGTGTCCCGGAATTCTGGGCCTTTGCTCCTGCCGCAGCGGGTTAACCTCTGGAACGCCCCAGAGGGTGGTACGTGTACAGGGGTTAAAACCCGGGGTCGTTTGTAGTAATCATTAATGCCTTTATGCCTTATTTTCGCCTAGTTCTTGACCACTCACACCGCTTATGCGATGTAATGTACACTATTCATCCTACTATGAAGCTTTTTTATCCCATACAAATCTATTCATCTCCATTTTCCAAGGCGGTTTATAAGCTCTCTGTCGCCATGCTATGAAAATGAAGCTTTAGCTCGGGAAGATACTCACCTGGAAAAATGGAGATGCAGAGATTTGTATAGTGTAAAAAGCTTCATTTTCATACATGGTGACAGAGAGCTTGTAAACCACCTGGAAAAATGGAGATGTAGAGATTTGTATGGGATGAAAAGACTTCATTTTTCCTACTTGACACAGTTGCTAGAATTATGGTACATGCCTAGCTTACATATGTATTAAGACAACTGTAATAATAGTAATTCAAGTAGTTATTTAGTTAAATTCTTCTGCGAGTCTTAATTCAGGCCTCCAGGCCAAAACAAGGCATCGAGGCATTAATAATTACTAAAAACGCGGTTTTCACCGTCGGACTGCGTACACGTGACAAGCGAGAGGAAATTCAGTTCTTCACTACTGATCGTCAGAGCGTCTCAGAGCGTCTCCTATAACCACTCCGTGTTTGACCAATTAAATACATTCGCTAAGCTTGAAACCGAAACTCATAGGGAACTTGTTATAAGGCATCCGCTCCTTAGTAGCTCCGCGTAGCTGATACAGCTTCATTCTGCCCTTCATCCACTATGGATTTTATAACATAAGTGATGCCCAATTTGGAAGAAAGAGAGAGAGAGAGAGGATGTTTCTCTACAAAGGTGGACCCCTCTTCTTTCCCTCTTTCATCGCCCATGCCTCCTATCACCCACGCGACTCCAACACACAGAGCCCCATGCAACTACTACAACATATGGGCGATTACGGCTGATTTGCCCAACTAAAGAGAGTTGAAGTATTCTTATCACTCTTATCATTCTTATTCCTATCATCCTCTAAGAGTGTAAAAAGACAAACCCGGCACCGCCTAAGGATTGGGGATCTTCGAAATCACCTTCTCGCAGATCGACACCAACGACGGCGCATTGACAATCTCCAACGTGCTCAAATCCACGCCCAGCTCGATGCGCAACCAATTGCGGAACTCCACGGCCGCCAGGGAGTCGATTCCGTACGTGGACAGGGGACGCGCCACGTCCAACGCTTCCGGCAAGCGCAAACTCGTCATCAGGTACCGGTTCAGCACATCGACGGTGACTTCGAGGACGGCGGCTGGCTCGGCTTTGGAGCGTAAGACAACGAAGATGGCTTGGACGTCTTTCGAGTCGGAAAGCGTCTGGGTTTGCTGCCCGCTCTGTTGCAGATATAAGCCGGCGAAGCGCGCGTCACGGAGCAGGAATGAGTCTGCGGGCTGCGGGACTTGGATTCCAGTCACCAGGTTGGCGCTGCTGGTCTTGTTGATAGGGATAGTGTCCTGCTGCAGAATGGAGAAGCCGAAGATCCGGCGCAGGAGTCGCTCGTTGATGGCGTGCCACAGTGCCGCGTCGTAGCGGTCCTGGAGATCGTCGCGCTCCGCCATGTATCCGACATCCTGGATGACTCCCAGATTGATGGAACAGGCAACTAGGCCCAGTCGCCGTCGGTAGGAGGCAAAGGCGTCCAGGAAGGTGTTCCCCGCCGCGTAGTTGGCTTGTCCTTTGCTTCCGCAGAGACCCGAGACGCTAGACAGCATGGTGAAGAAGTCCAGACTCAGGCCCTGCTCGAGTGCGACCTGGTGCAGGTTCCATGTGCCGGCCACCTTGCACCCGAGTGCCGTATGATAATCGTCGAGGCTCATGCCTGCGAAGGTGCGATCGCGGAGCACCATAGCGCCCTGCACAATGCCCCCGATGGGAACCCGCGTGGCAGCAAATGCCGAGCGGACGTGGCTCAGGCTGGAGACGTCCCCGCGGAGCAGATCGACCTGACAGCCCAGGGCGTGGAGGTCTCGGACAATCTTCTGGGACTGCTCGTCCTCGTGGCCGCTCCGGGTTATTACCGCCAGATGCTTGGCCCCGTTCTGTGCCAGATAGATTGCCAGGCTGGAGCACAGTCCTCGGAGACCGCCCACAATCAGGTAGCTCTTGTCGGGGGACAGCCTCATGCGCCGTGGGGCCGGACGCACGGGCACTTCTACCTTCGCATTGGGCCCGTCGCTGATGACCAGCTTGCCAATATGCTTTCCGCTGCGCAACAGACGGAATGCCGCCGGAATGTCACGGAATGAGAAGATGTGCATCGGGGTGATGGGGCTGAGGTGGCCGCCCTGCATCAGCGTGAAAATGTCGGCCAACAGGCTGCAGTGAGGTCAGTTTCACGTCCCCAGATGGAGAAGGGCATCAGGAAATGAGCTTACCTCGCGATCGTGTTGTCGGTGATCTCTTTATGCGACAGGTCCAGAGCTCGGAACGAGGCATTGCGATTGAACGGCTCCATGGCAAGGGTGCTTCGATCCAGGATATCCTTCTTGCCGATCTCGACCATGGTTCCGCCGTCCGCAACGATACGCCACGACTCGTCCAGCAAGTCGCCGGTCAGCGAGTTCAGGATTACATCCACGCCCTTGCCGCCCGTACAGGCCAGAATCTGCTCCGCGAAGGCCTTCGTGCGCGACGAGAAGATTCGTTCCTCGGGGATGCCGAACTGGGCCTTCAAGAAGTCTCGCTTCTCTGGGGTTCCCGCGGTGGCGTAAACCTACTCTAGGGTTAGTGGTCGTCAGTCTCATGGAAAAGAGAAAATCGGGCTTACCTCGGCACCCTTGTACTGGGAGAGCTGGATGGCCGAAAGGCCCACTCCTCCGGTGGCCGAGTGGATCAGCACGCGGTCCCCCTTCTTCAGATGTGCCAGCCGGTACAAGCCATACATCGAGGTCATGAAGACGCAGGGTATTGTGGACGCTTCTTCGAAGCTCATGCTGTCGGGAATGGGATACACTCGCTGGGTCGTGGTGATGATGCGGTTGGCAAACGATCCTTTCTGGAAGAAGGCCACGCGCTGGCCCGGCTTGAAGTCGGTTACATCTGGCGCCACGCGGGTGATGATGCCTGCTCCCTCTCCACCCAGCAGATGTTCATTATCGGGGACGATACCCACAGTGACAGCCACCTCTTTGAAGTTGACCCCGGACGCATAGATCTCCACTTCGACGCGGTTTGCCTCCAGGGGCAGTGGCGCGGAGCTCACCTCATTGTACCGCACGGCATCGATGTTGCCAATCCGCTCAGCCCTCAGTCGAATACAGTTGGGGGCTGCGTGGAGTTCCATCTTCTGCTCCGGCCGACCTGTGGCCTCTTCCTTCTGAGCCTCGTTGACCGTCGTGTCCGGTAGAACGCGACTGATATGAACAATCCCA